CCCCCCCGGCAAATTGCAACTTTTAATGTGGGATAGAACGTTTTGTAAAAGTTGCATTTCGATCTTTTTATTACCGTTCCTACATGACTACCGTTCTAAATTTTGTAAATTTAACCTTTCCGACCTCCACAAAAATTCGACAGAATGTTTATCACCAACATGAATAATAGTGAGGGTTTTAAAGTAAAATATGTGAGAATAAAAGAAACTTCGCGAGGCCGAATAGCTTTAAGCGACTATTATTGTTTTCAAGCTTAAGATTGCCTACTTAGAATATTGCAGGTGAACCAGTTAGAAGAACGCGAAACACGTTGTGTAAAGAGGTAGAAGGATGGTTTATTTCAAAATTTAAAGGAATTTTAGGGGGGTTTTTGAACCCAGGAAATTTTGACTCCCCTAAATAACTCCCCCCCCCCAAAAAAAATTGGCTAAAATGGCTCCTAATAGCCTGTGGTTTTGGGATACTTACAATGGCTTATGTGTGTTAATTACTTCTATACGCACATACATACAAGGTGCTTCACTGCTTCAGACCACTCGAGCCAGCCTTTTTCCTTTATCATTTGAAGTCGAATGAAGTCGGAGACTCGGATCCAAGTACAAAATCGACCCACAGGAATCTAAAGTTCGTGGTCCCGAACCCTCCTCGGCTCCCATCGAGAGGGGAGGGGGAGTAAGGGGGTCGTGCTTTTAAAAGTTGGGTTTTCCGTCGAAATTTTGAAATTATTCTATCAAATTTAGAAGGCACGGAAAATTTTACCTCTAATCGTTACTAATTGTAAGAACACCAAAATCAGACCATCCGTATTCGAAATATTGACCCCTAAAGGTGGGGGGATAGGGCCTCCCTCCCACCCCAAAATTCATTATCGCTAAATTGCCGTAGAGGCTCAGGAAAAATATGCTTTCTTACAAGATCGGCCACCATGGATTCAAATTCGACAAAAAAATCTCCCCAAAACTTGTCTGATGTGACGTACAGAGGGTCAGTAATTTTGCAAATTCTCTAAGTTTCGGGCCCCTGTATCGTATCAGAAAATTTTTGGGGGCCGCGGGACAATCCTATTCGGCTCTCTGTTAGACTGGTAGTCCATTACTTAGTTAAACATCTTTTTCCTGAGCCTCCACGTCAATTGGACGTATTTCTATCAAACGGAACTAAGCGCCAATTTGAGTTCCTTTTGAGAAATTCAGAATCTCGGATAGCGCGTTCTGTTAAACAGACCTGAGCGCCATGGAAAAGCATTGCGAGTACAAGGACGGAATAAGCCGGACGCCCGATTCTGCCGCCAATCCAAGCCCCCATCTACCTTCCTCACCCTATGGCGCTTAGGTTCATTTGTTAGAAATACGTCCAATTTAGCCATATTAATTTTTTTTTTTTTTTTGGGGGGGGGGGGGGAGTTCGGCCCTATCCCCCATCTTCAGGGGTCAATATTTCAAACAGAAGTGGTCTGATTTTGTATTCCATGGTATCAACTTTGCGGTAAAATTGTCCGTACTTCCAGAATTTGATTAAATATTAGGTATCAATCAATCGCGTTACGTAATTTTTGAACAGCCCTTAGAGACTCGATTTGGCACGTGCGTGGAAGCTCTCAACGCGCAGGCGGCGTTACACGTCGAGGAATGAGTACTGTAGAAGAAGAACAAGAGATAAAGAAAAGGAAAAAATTAAAATTGTACGTAGTTGATCAGATCTCTCCTTCAAGGCACACCACCAGCATCGTCAACGACTGTAAGCAAGTTTGCAAGTCAACCGGGCGATCGCTGTTTAGAACTGTAGAGCTCGTGGCTTGATCTAATAATGTTGCCGGATTTCTCATTATAGTTGCTAATGGGGGCTTTTCTTTGAATATCGATCATATGTGTCGAGCTGACAACTACGCTTCTAATGCCGGCGCTAAACAGTGTTGCCGCGTGAGTGTACAATTGTATAAGTCCGAGTGCATTGTATTCAGGGATTTATTTATTCCCCTGTGAGTTGGCAACGTGTGTTCTCCCGTAGTCATCAGCTCTCCGACCCGGGAAACAAGAATAGAGGTCCCTGCTCTCCCAGCGCAGATTCGAAAATGCGATGGTGAGCCATGTCTGGTGCCCTGCATCTGAACTCGGAGAGCCATGGTTTTTTGCTCGTGTCTTATACAAGACGGACCCTTTGTGCCTCGCTATTCTGCTGCCTGGCTTAAGACTTGGGCAGCCCTAGCTGCAAAACAACCTTTAAGGTTTTCTCTTTGTTCATACCTACGCTGTATCAGAGAAACATGAGTGAGGGGGTGCGATTCCCACCACTACCCCCTGGGTACCCCTGGCAAAAAGCGTTCTCTATAACCTGCAGACATTTTAAGAAGTAACGTCGTTTGCAATGGAATGAAACACGCGATCGATGTCAACTCAAACAGTATTTCAGTGACTTTAAAAAATCCAGTCTCGATCGGTTTGTGACATTCCGGTGTTTCCTTAAAAGGAAGTTTATATTTCAACTTAAAAAAATTTCCCGGCTTAAATGATTACTTAAATTATGAAATTTTCCATCTACCTACATTTTCTTCGTCCGAAAGCTTATTCTTTGAATAAAATGCATTCTGTCAGTTTTCATTTGGTAAAGTATCATAAAATAAACCTAGATGAAAGGGAAGATTTTGAGACATTGGAAACGAAGTGAAGCTTTTTTAATTTTTACCGTTAGGCGCGGGTTATAGAACTTAGCCGAATTATCAATTGCCCCTTCATTCCGAAAGGTATGCACTTTGAGCAACTTGGATGTTGAAATCACGGTATTGCACTTCAGGTATTCGAGGGTTCCGCATCTATATTTCCCTCATACTAAGTACCATAGTGTAAGTTCTTTGTGTTATTTAAGTGTAAATAGAGTAAATACTAAAACGGGAGACCCTTAAGTTTACGTAGATAATAATGGCAGCACGAAGAGACGGGAGGCTAACACGAGGGCGAGGGCTAATAGCGCAAAGAGAAATACAATGGTTCCACGCGCTGCATATTTAGCGAGCATCTTAATTGATGCAAGGGTCCCTAAAAATCTAAAGCCGCCTAGGGATTATAGGATTATACGAGTCCTTATTCGGAGAAACG